ACCTGACTTTATCTGCCTCGGTCTTTTCGTACGTCACTCCCCTGCTACCGTGTTACCCAACACGTACTATTTTTTCTTGGTGACTCTAGAGGACGAGGACAGTTGGAGTCGAACACCGATATCCCTGGCCGACTTCCCAATTCCTCCCATAAATATCGTCTCGACAGAGACGGAGGCCTGGATATGTGATGGCGGTGCAGCAACAGACGGTCGTGCTGGCAATGATAGGTGCCATAGGAACTCGCCGATGTCGTCCGTTGTGTCGTCATCAGCAGAAAGTCGAGGAGCCTGAGGATCTCCCTCCTCCTAGCTCACAGCCGGACCACCGTCATGCTATCTGCCGGCCCATGAGCAAGATGCCCTCCATCCGCCTCGCCAACAGACGGTCCGCCTTCGTGCCATGCCTGCATGGTCCCGGTCCGCGATGAACGCCGCCAGCCGATGCACTGGTCGAACGAGATATCGTACAGCATTGGGCATCGTGTGTGGCCACGACTGCGCACGCCTGTCCTTCCCAATCAGGTCGCACCGTAGGAGGACAATGATTTCGCATGTAAGACACCTCCACGGACTGCTTCCGCACTCCAGCCGTCTCGTGCCCGGCGGCAGCGGCCAAGACAGCACAGCGGGAGGCAGAGGTGGCGTTTTTTTTTGCGAACTCAAACCTTGTATTACTCAGTCACAGTATCATTACAATCCTTAGCAGTAATCTCCAGTAATTCAGGAGGACCCGACCCTAACCAAATCATAGTCCTATTATTTAGATGACCAAAGGAAGCTAGCAAGTCGCTCGCTTTATTCCGTGAACGAGCCACATGAGTAATACAAGTTTGATGAAGACTTAATAAATCTCTAATCTCATTAACTAAAGATGAGTAGATCAAACGATCGATATCACCACATGTGATCATAGACACAACAACAGCGGAGTCAAGCTCAACTTGTATCGGCATTGTTGTTCGTTGGACCGCAGAGGATAGTCCCTCCCAACAAGCATAAAGGTCAGCCTCCAGTGCATCTCGGCAAACCCGTAGCGCCCTACATGCGGAGAAGATGATTCTCCCTTGCTCATCTCTCAAGATCATGCCTGCCCCAGCATCATCACATGACACAAAGGCTCCATCCGTGTTTAATTTCGTCCATCCATGCATCGATTTTTCCCAGCCATGCACCTTAGCCGTGGCCATCTGAGGAGCAACGTCGATCATCATGATAATTTTTCCTTTTACTGACTCCACATTTATATCATTCTTGATTGCCACTAGAGAGTCAAGATAACTCTGCAAAAACCTGACCGATACTTCCATCGGCGGAGCCGGCTTATGATGCACCACCTCGTTGCGAATGAACCAACTTCTCCATAGCACAAGAAGAATCATACACCTCTCCATGTCACTTATAGTCGCAAGAACTTGCAGTAACCACTCCCTACCGCAGTTAACCAGTGACTCTAACCAAGGTAATTTCCAGACTTTGGCCATTCTCAGATATAGATCCTTCCCGAGCTGGCACCGCACGAACGGATGGAAGTTATCCTCCGTGTCTAGCCCACACACCGGACAAACACTTGTGTTTTCCAAGCCAATTTTATGCTTATTCTTCCATGTTGGCAGCCCGTCGGTAGCTACCCTCCACGCAAAATTTGCCATAGAAGGCGGAACCCCACAACTCCAGATGAATTTCCAACAGCTTCTCGCATTGGACGGCGACGAACTAGAGGATACAACTACAGCTCTGTGTATCTCGTCGAACGCCAAATGATAAGCACTCTTCACAGAAAAAATACCCACTTGTCCGGCCCCCATGCAAGAACATCCTCGCCGCGCCTAGGTGACACCCTGATCTTCAGAATCTCTGTCACATCTGCTTGCATGAAATATCGATTCAGAGTATGAACTTTCCAGGACCCGTTTTCATTCAAAAGATCAGACACATATCGAATGCGATAGACACCCTGCCTCGAGATTGGTTTGTATGAGAAAGGCCTCGGTATCCAGTTATCACGCCACACCCGAATGCTTTTCCCATCACCAACTCTCCAAATCAGTCCTTTCTTTAACAACTCCAAACCATGGCTAATAGCCTGCCATGAAGATGATGCATTCCCGGAAAACACTGTGTCCTCTAACTTTCCCGCTGGATAGTATTAGGATTTGAGCAAACGGGCGCACAAGCTGTCCGGCCTTACTATCAATCTCCAAGCTTGGCGAGCTAGCAAGGCTTGGTTGAATAACCGAAAGTCTCGGAAACTGATTCCACCTCTCTCTTTTGGTTGCATAAGGTGATCCCATCCCTTCCAGTGAACCTTCCTCTTCCCCTTCTCCGACCCCCAGTAAAAGTTCCTCACCATTCTAGTGAGATCATCGCACACGGAGTACGGAAGCTTAAAAACTCCCATAATATATGTGGGTAAAGCTTGGGCGACATACTTTATAAGCACTTCCCTCCCCGGCTGCGCCAACACACCATCTCCCCATTGGACAAGTCTTTTGGTAAGGCTTGTCTGAAGATTTTGAAACTTCCCTTTTGACATACGACCCTCGGGAGTGGGCAGACCCAAGTACTTCTCCTCAAACACCATACTTTTGACTTGGAGAACATCCCTGACTTGCTCCTGGACTGCAACCGGGCATGCTGCCCCGAAAAAGATAGAGCACTTATCATAGTTTAAACTTTGGCCCGTGGCCAAACTATAAAGATCCGGAGAAGCTTTAACTTGCGACGCTTGTTCCCTCGAAGCCTGAAAGAACAACATGGTATCATCTGCAAACAACAAGTGGGATATGCCCGGGGCTCTTCTACAAATTCTCACGGGAGCAATATCACCGGCTTGCACCTTGCTTTTCAAAATAGCTGAAAGTCCATCTGCCACAAATAAGAACAAAAACAGAGAGAGTGGATCTCCTTGCTGTAGCCCACGCGACGGTGCAAATGAATCCAGGAGAGTTTCATTTAATTTAACTGAATACCTCACCGATGTGACACACGCCATTATCCAATCAATCCATCTGTGAGAGAACCCTAACCTTTGCATCACCTGCTTCAAGAAAGCCCAATCAACTCTGTCATAAGCTTTTGACAAGTCCAGCTTATATGCACAAAAACTCCTTGAGGGATCCTTCTTCTGTTTAATATAATGCAAGCACTCAAAAGCAACCGGTGCATTATTTGTAATCATCCTACCTGGTATGAAAGCACTTTGCTCCACCGATATAATGTCATCTAGCAAAGGCCTTAATCTGTTCACAAGGCATTTTGAAATTACCTTGTACGTGACATTACAAAGACTTATTGGCCTGTAGTCCGACATCCTTAAGGGATTAGATATCTTTGGAATAAGCACTATTGATGTATCATTAACACCCTCAAGCATAACACCGGAGATGAAAAACTCCCTGACCGCAGCCAAAACCCCATCCTTCACCGTACTCCAATTCCGTTGAAAGAACCGAGCGGGAAAGCCATCCGGCCCTGGTGCTTTCAAAGGCCCAATTTGAAACAATGCATCAGAAATCTCTCTGTCCGTAAACGGCGCACATAGCCTATCATTATCAGCCGGCGACACCACACGTTCAAACAAACTTACTACTTCAGAAGCATTCAAAGTAGTGTCTGCAGCAAAAATATTATGGAAATACTCGTTTGCGATATTGCTCATTGCTGCAAACTCGGTGTGTACGGTTCCAATGCTGTCCATCAATTCCCTGATCTTGTTCTTCCTAGCTCTCCAAACTGCTTTGCTCTGAAAGTACCTTGTGTTTCGATCTCCTTCCTTCAGCCAGGAAATTCTCGACCTCTGCATCCACAACATCTCTTCCTGATATAGAAGTTCATTCATTTTATCCATCACACACCTTATTTCCTCCCTATCAGCATTCATGTGCATAAGCTCCTCAAGTTGGCTTCTAGACCTCGCAAGTTCTCTTGTTACATTACCAAATTTTCTGCTCCATGAGCCTAGCGCATGCATTTTTTTGACAAGGCCTCTCTCAACTGTGATAGATTACGAATCTCCCCTACTGCTGTCCATGCTTCTTCCACCACCTTGGGCAGCACTGAATCTCTCTCCCAAAAAACCTCATACCTGCAGCTTCTTCCTCTCGTCGGTCCCGGGTCCGGTTCCCCTTTAAGGAAGATCACAAGATGATCGGAACAAGGGGACGGTATATGCTCAACTGCCGCAAAAGCAAACAGGTTTCGCCAGTCATTTGTAGCCACGGCTCGGTCGAGTCTCACCTTGACATTTGCAGACCTCACTCTTCTATTATCATACGTGAATGGGAGGCAGAGGTGGCGTTGCCGGGGCGGCGGGGTTCAGAGGATAAGTAGACGATTGTGGTAGCAGCGACGAACAGGCTGGAGGAATTAGTGATGTGTACTTGCAGTTTTCATGAACGAAAAATTAACACGGCTTGTAGACACTAATAGCCTTTTTCATTGACATGGAACACATTGGCGTTTAAACATCTTCTCTTTCCCATTACAATGCCCTGTTCTACGTCTTTATGTAGTAGATCAAACAGCAGACCTCCCATAAAAAAGAAGCAGAGATGCTTAAATTATCGTAAAACCTTAAAAGTGCGCGTGCACTATTTCGCCTGATCGAGCGGCTGCTTCCTGGCCACATGATGTCGCCCCGAATCGCCACGCGCGTCGGCAGGTGGCACCTGGTCGGGGGCTCGCATCCGCGGTGTGAAAACGGTTGTACTACGCGTCCCCATCTCGAGAGAGACCCCCTCCACTTTCTCGCTCTCTCTCTCTAGAGGCTTCCCACATCGTCGGCGGCTAAACGGCGGGCCGCATTGGGAGCTTCCGGTGGCTAGCAGCGGCATAAGGAGCGGGGCGGGCGCAAGGGAGGGAGCTCTTCGGCGGCCATGCTGCGGGGATGAACCGGATCCCGTCCGCCCCGCTGCGGGGCAACGCGGCCGAGGCGGGCGCGGCGGCGCTCGACACCGTGGCGCTAGCGTGGGGGCGTGGGATTCCGCATCATCCTCTTCGACATGGAGCTTGTGCAGCTTGTCGAGGCCTGTTTCCCGCCGGATGCGCTCGCCCATGGCGGCCTCGACCTCCTCGTCGCCTTCTCCTCCTTCCCAGACTCCATGTCCCGTGACCCGGGACGTGGTCCCGCTGGGGATTGCTGGACCGGGATGGCCACCGTGATGAACGGCGGGAGCGCCACGGCAGCGGACTGGCAGCGGTGATGACTAGCAGCTTGCATCGCCCGCCTTTCAGCAGTGTGGCGGCGTCACGGCAGCGGCCTAGGCGCTAGATGTGGACGTCCCGGCACAGTCGAGAACTGCAGATGGCATGGTGCCGGATGTTCCGGAGGGGCGTGGCGAGCAGGCTCGCCGAGGAGCAGGTCGGTTGTAGGAACCCATGCTGCAATTAAGTCATGTGAGCCATGTTCGGCAAAGTGGTGTTCATGTTGCATACTTGCATCTGGTGAACCAAATTCATTCAGTTGCTTGCCCTTACGTGCGTGTGTAAGTGGTCGTCCAAGTGAGCACTGTCAATTCAAGAACATGGTGATCACCGGAATGCCCTACTTCCAACATTAGGTAGTTTAATAAGTACAGCAGTTAATTACAATTTGTGCACAACTAAGAATTCAGAGTATGATAAGAATAAATTCGTACCCAAGTATGTTCTTTTTCTTACATCGTTCAAGTTTTGTGGTTGCTGGTATGGATCATAGACTATAATGGAAATTCAGCTTAAATGTTTGAACATTTCAGTCTTCACAGTGTAGATGATTATTTCATCTTCCTTGCAGAAACTTGTCACCCAGTCCATCATCAACTGGTGAAATAGATGTTTTTTGGTAAGCTAACACTACATTAATGCTTTTATGTTTTGTAAATTACCATCTCAGATTTTGTGAAAATGGTAAGATGGGTTGCACAACTATGTTTTTGGAGTTGCACATGGACTGCCAGATAGTTGCCGAGATTGTACATCCTACTGGCAAGGGTAGTTGGACGAGAATATCCATAATCACGCCCGCAAGCTTAAGGTGTGACAGCCAAATCCGTTGTGGCTGGGTTAGTAGGTCACCGGGGAGACTTGGCCGGCACACCGTAGACGCCACCGCCTCCTCATGTCCCTTTTTCTGGGCGATGAAGCCGTCCCTCTTCGCGCATATAAATTGTAAAATCATGCTATAGAGTTGCACAGATGGCCAAGACAGTTGTTGAAGTCGTACATCCCTACTGGTAGGACTAGTTCGGTCGAAAATGTTCGCATGTAGGGGAGAAAGATACATCAACTGCCAAGAAATTGGTTATGACAGCACAGACGAAGTTGCGCATCTCACACGACAAAAGAATAGTTAGGGGTGAACATCAATTATAGGTGATAGGTCACCACGACACACAAAATTATACTCCCTCCGTTCCAAAATAGATGACCCAACTTTATACTAGCTTTAGTACAAAGTTGGGTCATCTATTTTGGAATGGAGGGAGTAGGTGATAGTTGCATGTTGCTTTTGGAGTTGTTTTCACTTTTGACGCTTAAACTAGCCCAGTGGTAATACAAAGGATTAGTCATACATTTTGTCCTCTATCTACGTAGTGTTTCTCTTACTTCGACTATCGATTTAACTGCAGTAACATTCATTAGGTTACATCAAAGAAATAAGAAACTATTTTGAACTGAAAATGCTCTTTAGATGAATCATGAAACTAGTCTAATAAGGTTGTTTTGGTAGTAATGTAAGGCTGTAAAATATTGAAGTTCTAAAGTTCTAAAGATTTTATGTCACTGTTGGTATGATTTTATGAATGTTGTTTTTGCTTAAGTTGATCTAGTTTTGCTAGTCACATTTTTAGTTGGCATCCATAATAGTTGTAGTTGCACACATAGTAGGTTTTAGTTGGTTACCACCATTAAAAAGTTGCACAACACGACAATACTAAGATGGTTAGATATTGTATCGCGCTTGCATTGCTTACTTAACTATAGCTACACGCGCGAAGCTCGACCCACTAATGTTGGCAAAGTTGTAGTTGCACATATAGTAGTCCGCAGTTGGATATGGATCATCGGGAAGTTGCACAACAACACGATTATGCGGCGGAGGCGCATGCTCGCATCGGCATAGTAGTTCACCATGACTACGGGAGTTGCACACATGCGGCGGAATAGTCGCACACACATGACCACGAAGCTGCACACTCCCATCGACGTAGTAGCTCACGCATTCCCGCGGAATTGCACACTTTTCTCGGCATAGCCACACACGCGCGCCTGTAGATTTGCACACTCTTGTCCGCCTAGTCGCATACACATGATCACAGAGTTGCACACCTTTGTTGGCATAGTCGCACACACGCGCGTAGGTACCCACTCTCGTTGTCTACCTAGTTGGCACGTCTATTACTCAAGGTACATAGTCTCGGGCCCCGCAGCACACGAGGTACCACACACCTGGTTCAACTTCAGTTTTCATTCGGTCATCTAATCTAGTCTGCTACCTTACCCTAATAGTATTACTTGTACCGAAATACTAACAACATTTTCATTCTCTCAGATTATTAACCCAAGTTGGATACAAATTCACAGTTGGACAACCAAACGATGCTAAGTTGACATAAATGTCTCTTTGTAAGTTGATCTATTGTTTACTATTTTTAGTTGGCATCCACAGTAGTTGTAGTAGCACACACAGTAGTCCTAGTTGGCACATGCATAGCCACAGAGTTGCACAATCTGGTCCGCATAGTCGCATATGAATTATCGTGGGAGATTCTCACTCCCGGCCGCGAAGTTGCCACTTTCATCGGCGCAGTCGCACATGCATGGCAACAGAGTTGCATAATCTGGTCCGCATAGTCGCACATGAATTATCGTGGGAGGTTCTCACGCCCGGCCGCAGAGTTGCACACTCTCGTCGACATAGTCGCACACGCATGGACACAGAGTTGCACAATCTCGTCCGCATAGTCGCACATGAATTGTCGTGGGGTGTTGACGCCCGGCCGCGGAGTTGCACACTCTCGTCGGCG